ATCCGCCAAAATGGCGAAGCGACCGCTGCCCAGAGACATCCGCGATTGCAGATGCGTTGCCAACCCTTATACGACGGAGGAGGAGACGCACATAAAGAGGATATTTCCCCTTCCTATGCATATCCTCCACCGTCAAATTCACTTCCTCTTTTCATCCTCTTCTTGTGAGAAAAGGGTGGTAAAGAGAAAAGGACTAAAATTAGACCTCCGGCACCACACTCTTCACACGAAACACGGAATTGCTTCCACTTCACGCCTGTCTTCTGTGTGGTCGTGGTATTACTGGGGGCGAGTCCTGCAGTGCTAAGATGTTAAAGCGGGCACTACCACTGCTAAATAAAAACCAATTTAAATAAATAAAAAATGTATGAAGAATACAGTGCTTGTATCAAGTTTTTTTTTATATTCCTATCTTTGGGTGTTCTTGAAATTTTGATAATGCGTTACTAGCAGTCGCCCGCGACTCCTTTAGTGTGGAATTAAAAAAAAAACTAAGTAGCCTATGTGTTCTTCCAGACTATACATCTATGCCAAATTACATCGAGATTCGTTAGCAGTTTAGGTTACTCTTACAAACATCAAAACTCCATCATTTATGGTATTAGTAAGAATTTGAAAAAACAATGAAATGCTTTTTCATCTATTTTATTTTGTTGTAATTTTACAGCTCGCGAACCGTTGACTAAACAATCGCACAACTGTACTGCGATTCTTTGATCAAAGTTGTACCCCTCTTATTTCATTTATAGATTGTTTTCCATGCAGTTATATGCAGTAAACATTGTTGCGTTTTTGTTATTGTATTGCATAGCTTACAATATACAAACATCTCGTTCTATAAATAAATGTCGAGAATTCATTTGTCATTTTACGATCATATTTCCTTGACTTATTTCAGATTCATATTTTCACGCACACACATTCAAAGGCCGGCAACGCATCTGTAGTTCCTCTGGTGTTGCGGATGTCCATGGCCGTCGTTGACCACCTTTGTGTTCCCGCCGCTTTTGCCCCCTTTTCATATAAAAAAAAACGATATATCTATACTGTTATAAAGCAAAGATTTGTATTTTTGTATTTCGTAATAACTCAAAAATTGGGCCAATTTCAAAAAATTCTTTCATCAATGTAACTACGTTGCCATTTAGTAATATCGTACTTATCTTACTAATATTATAATATTATAAATGCGAAAGTTTAAATTTGTTAGATTTTGTAGCCTAAACGGCTGACGGATCTCAATGAAATTTGGCATGGATGTAGAGGATAGTCTGGAAGCACATATAGGCTATTTTTTTTTTTAATTCCGCGCGGATAGAGTCGCGGGCGAAATCTAGTA